TCATTGACACTTGCAGAATTTAATTAAGGCATTCCAGTGCCCTTTGTATATCCTCAAGGGTCATACCCGCTGGCTGGACTAGATAATGTAACAGCCATCCAAATTAATGAACCTTGGATTCAACTGTAGTATGCAAAAACATTGCTTAACAAAAGTAACATGTTCTTGACACTAAGTGCTGTTCTGTGAATCATTTGGCCAATCTTGCTTCCTTAATTTACTTCTGTGTTCCACTGCCAGTGAGAAGAATTGATGCCAGCACAAATTGTTGCCAGATGCAAAATAATGGAGTAAACCTTTGGAAGAGGATCCCAAGGATGAGTACAAATGCACCGTGTCTTAATTTAATTAACTGAGAGAAGCACCACTATTTCATTTCTTTGTAACTGTAGAGAATAATCTCTTCTATGAGATTTTTGCCTTCAGCAGTCAGGGGGAATAAGGTCCACACCAACACACCATGTCAAAAATCTTAACTTATTAGGGAGAAAGCAGACCTAACTCCTGACAGCCACCACTTACTTTACAAATCTATTAAATTGCTGTCAGGAGAAAAAAGAAAGAAAGAAAAAAATATTTAATAATTATTATGTGGATATAGTATTGATGACACTGATATTTCTTGGGCTCAGCACTGCTTCTGTGCTTCCTTTTCCAGACTAACAGAGAGGACTAAAGCATTCAGTGAGTGATTTCTGCTGTGCCACCGAGCTCTGCAATGTGATGCTAAGCAAACCCAGGCTCTACTGGAGCTTATTAACTAATTCCAGTTCAGGCTCTCACACCAAGCAAACCACTGCTCAGCACAGCAGGGTGTAGGGGCACTTACCAAGGCAGAGTTGGGCATGTTCATAGTGTAAAAGGAAAAAAGAACCAGGTCTGTGCTGGAAGTAGCTCACTCTGGGTTAGTGGTGCTGAGCACTGCTGCCCGGGAGGCTCAGGGACATAGCACTGTCACCTCCTCCCCTCAGGCCACTCAGGTTTGGAGTCAGAAGGGCTTTACAGAGTCCTTCTGCCACAACCACTCCTCCCCAGCACCAGTGCTCCCTGGGTATGATATGCCCTACCTATAGAACTGCTCTTTGTCAGTTCAGCAGCATATCCCAGCCTAAATAATACAGCCAGGACAAAACTAAAGGCTTGAAACCAGATATCCAGAACACAAAAATAGATAAATATTTTTAACGCTCCAACTTACACACAATACTCTGTTTATGTAAAGCTCAAGAGCAATTTAGATGTCCATTGAAAACAAGACAATCTTTCTTAAAAACAGATATGCTTTATGCACTCAGGAAAGAGTTAGATTACTTTCTGCTGGTGAAACTGTACTGGTATCTCCATTCCCCTGGCTCATTAAAGCTAAAGAACTGCCAGAGCAGCAAGTATTATGTGTATTACATCTGCAGTTAAGTAAATGCAATCCCATGTTTTGCTAGATCCTTTCTGCCAGTTGTAGGTGGAGCAGGAGTGCTCCTCATCACAATGAACATACTGAAGGCATTTAAGAATGACAACTGTCACATAAAGAAAAGGAAACATAATAAACCACTTCTACAATCCAGGAGTCCAATACTTGTCTAATATATTAAAGATTCCTTACTGCCAGTTACGTATTTACCAGAGAGATTTTAGTAAGAAAAATTTCACAGAACTAAAATCCTGAAGATATTCTGAAGGTGTTAAATTAGAGAAAAACAAATTAACAGGATTCACTAAAGAAACCGAAACTTCACCTCAGTATTTAAAGCGTTTCTATGATTCTACTGTTCTGTTCTGACATTGTTAGCTGATAGTCCACAATCATAAAAATTCTTTAAGCACGGAAAACCTACACAATGTTCACAATTTAAGATAGAAAAAGCTACTTTTTTAGTGGCTTACGATTTGTGGAAAAATTGCTCACCTCCAAGGTTAGAAGTTCAGTGTGAGATCTGCAGCTACTGTATATCAGTGCAGACTCACTACCTTCAGCTACATCAACCTACGCCAGCTGAGAACCGAACCAGCAGCTACACGAGCTGTTGAAGGATTCAAATATTAGGCTCTAAAACGTGAAATTTATGAGGGTAGAGAAGGTTTGAAAAAACAGCAGAGTGTAAAAACTAATCTCTGTGAGTGAAGTTTCCTCATATCTACAATATGCAGCTCAGGCACATATTTGCAAACTTTGGCAGTTCTGGCAGGAATATGAGAATGGAAGATGGATTTGACATGCTGTAATTCTAACACACACCGTAATTATACCTGCAAGAGCAGACACCAGATCCCACCAATGCCAGCAAGAATTCAGAGAGGAACCCTGAGTCATGCTTTTGAACAATGCTAACAAACTGGATGCCACCTAAGCTAATTAAGAGTTTCATTCATATGCACAATACTCAACTGTCAAGATTTTGGCTCATTAAATGTAGTATACGTAAAAATCACACTGTGGCCATCTGTAACTGCTTTAAGGGGGGAAAATTTCCACACAAAACCAGGAGTGTGGTTAATGCCAGAATGAAATAACTGGAAAACACATTTCCAAACCTAGGTTTTTGTTATTTATCATAGCCAAACCATTTTTACCCCTGTAGTGCGACAGCCTCGTGTGGAAACTTCTATTTTCAAGCTGTGAAAACAGAAATAGATTTTATAGGGCCAAATTATACTGTGCTTTTACCAGAGCCCTGAGTAACATTAATACATAAACAGATGCAAATGAGTGCAGAATTTGACCCAATGAACTAAATAAATTCCTTGTACAACATCCCTGATACCAACAAGTTTGCACATGTAGTGTATTTGGTCAATGATTCTTACACTGTTATCTCATAATGTGATTTATAATGAAAAAGTTTAAGGGCTGATAAACACACCCAAGTACATTCTCTGTAATTAATTCTGCAGATGGGAGGAAAGCCTTTTAATGGTATGGGCAGTGAAACACTGAATTAGGATGTCATCCAAAAATACTGCCTGCTGGAACTGAGGGATGTCCACAAACCCCAGCTATGTCCTCTGCCCATGTGCAGGCCATCTGTGTAAGGCACACACAGGAAGTCTGCAAAACGTGGAACTCACTGTGCATTTGTGCACTGTGCTTGTACACCACAAGCATACATTCCCATTTATATTTGAGAAATCACAGTCAGATATATTGGCTAGATGTATTTAGGAATGATTTGATCCTGTCCTAAGGAAAGTAAAAATATACTATGAATGCAGAGATCTCTTTGATCTTATTTTCTAAGACTTGTGGACTGCACATTGAAAAAGGAACCTGTCATTTCAGAGAGAATACCCAGTGAAACAAGTCATTGCCATCTCTGAAACTGAAAAAGTATGGGACCAGAGCCAAGGGTTTCCATTGACAAAAAGTCTCAAGGAAACAGACTGATGACGGCTCAGACTCCCAGGTATTCCTGTACCCACATCACACGACAAAGCTCATCTCAAACGGATTTCTATTGCTCTCATCCTGCCTTGTGTCCTTTGCCACATTCCAGCCTGTGTCAATTAACCATTCTGCATGGAATTCCAAAAGGAAAATTTCTATTCATTTACCCAACACATACTGTTGGGTGCAGCAGCAGCAACTGCTATGCTCCACAGAGATTAGTAGCAGTTAGGCAGAGCAATCCACCTATAGAAAACACTTCTGCTCACATGGCTGTGGCGACTGGAAGCCGCTGCTACCATATGCCATGTTACTAGAACTCAAAAAACTCACATGCAGGTTTAAGTCTGGTGGAGCACTATTTATTAATCAAGTTTGATCTATTTTATTCCTTACTCCAAATCAAAATGGCCCATGATTACAAAGGCCAAGGAGTTGCCAACTGGTATTTCAATGATAAAATATCTGAAATAACACAGAACTGGAAGGGGAGGAGCATTTTCTGAAAAGCAGCATTTTCTCAGTACACCCTAGCTTGACAGGCATTCAAGGTGCTATCCACCTTACATGGATAGAAGTAAAACTTCATTCATGCCTGTTAGACTTCTCTTAGGCAGAGCAGGCGCAGACCTGCAGCTACAGGGCTGAGGCACCTGGGCAGTACAGCTGCAGCACAAACACAGCCCAGCATCTGGGTACCAGTATAGTGCAGCACAGCCCAAACCCTGCTTCTGCTGCTGCCTTTCACTGACAGGCAACTAGGGGTTGTCTCTTGGGAGAATCCTATGAAAGGGAAATGTGCTTTCTTCAAAATCAGAAGAAAATATTTCTGGTTTTGGTTTGGTTTTGGTCTTTTGTTGGGGCAAGAAACACTTTGAGATAAGATTTGCTCAAGACTCATAAGAATGTTTTAGCTTTCTCCACATGCGTGAGTGACTAGTCAGTCCCTGAACTAGTTAAAATAATCATGCCACCTAAAGATAGCTACAGCAATGACTGAGTTGCAGCACTGATGGTACTTCCACAGACCACAGGCAGGCAGGACAGAGTTAATAAAAAGCCTCAAGTCAGTCTGATGTCAAGCCTGCAGCTCTTGCCATTTTACGGTCCGTTACACGCTAGAAGTAGCTCTGTCAACTCAAGAGACATCCACCAATATAACTTTGATGAATGGTCCTTTGGCTACACAGAAGTAGTAAATATTAATCGAGCTTGCAATGACAGATGAGAAAACATTATCTGCTTTTCTCTTGAGCATGCACGTACTTTGCCTGTTCCTACTGGATATTGACAAAAACGTATGTCAATAAAAAAATAAATGAACTCTTCAAATAGTTGTACCTTACTGTGTGTTTTCTCCTATGCCATCTAAGCACCATATTCTAAAATCATAAGCTTTTGCCTATATGTGGCAGGGGAAACTATGCATTTCTGGTGTTCCGTACCTCCACACCAGAAGCACACAGCCACACAGAGCTATCTCTCAGCAACAGAGATACAGCAATGGCACAACATGACTTTTTCACCTAGCACTCACTCCTCCTTCCTCCCTAGAGCTTCAGGCAGCTCTCCACCTGGCCTGCCATGGTCAGAACAGAAGCCACAGAGAAGGAATGCTTTCACTTGGCAATTGACAGCTTTCCTTTTTTAGGGAATATAAAATTTTATACTCCCTGCTCTATACATGGCAGAAATAAGGGACAGTTGTCACAGGGACATGCAGGAGGGTCTCAGTCAGGGAGTTCTCTCACTTCAGGATATCAGTAAGCTGAGAAAATCACAGAAGACTGAGAAGGAAAAAACAAAAGGAGGAGAGAGACGAAGAACAAAACTCCATTACTGCCACTGCACTGATCTGCAATAAAACTCAACTGACCTGCCAAACAAGAAAATAACAGCTCTCTGACACCTAGCAACCATTAAAACTGCAAGAGGACCTGAAGCATAATCCCTCAATATCACCCCCAAGGCACTGTTTCAGGGGCACCATAACCTCCAAATCCTTGGTTAGATTTTTCCTAAAACCCAACAGGCATCATAACAAGAGCAGAGCTTCAAACTTGTGCGTCTATATTTTAGGTGGCAACTGCAACTCTTTCAGAGTTATCTTTGTAGGAAATTCTTGTGAGAACTCTGACTTTGAAATCTCTTTGGTAATTTTTAGCACCAAATCATTGGTAGAGCTCATGATAAATTGCTATTCTGTCAGCCACCTTTGCTACTCCCTGGCAACTTCACTACATACCTGAAGGAAAAATTCCATAACAGTAACATTTAATGAGAAAGTAACCAATGTTCAACTGTGTGAAAAACAGCAATAAAATAATAAAGCTGCAGGATCTTCTGGGGTCCTGGACCACACAGAAAGCTTTGCTTAGCTTCAGGTAGAAAAAGTGGAAAAGAATAAAAGGATACAAGTCCAAGAGCAGAATAAGCTAGAAGATGCCTATAAAATGATAAAAATAATTAATACATACCTCACTGACCAAGCAAATGGCATACGGTATTTCCCCAGCTTGCTGCAGAACTGTTTATTGGATTTTAACACTTTCTGTGCACACTACAAAAAAAGAAAATATTAATTATTTCATCAATATCATTATAATTTCTGAAATATAGCACAGAGTATGTCCAAGTACTCCTCTGCTGAAGAGCCCATAGTGTCACTAAAATAATTTAGCCTGATACTGCCCATAACAGAAGGTTCTGGGTAGAGAGCAAAAACATCACAGATGAATATGATGCTGCTGCTGAATTAAACCCCTTCACCATCCCTTCAGTCAGAACTGTATTAGTTACAGTTATTATTCCAGTTTCCTGTAATACAACCAATGCAGATGTTCTGCCTGCTGTCAGAAAGAAACAGGTGCCTACACCAACTTTACTTGCATATGAAGTGCAGTAACTCATACTTTCTGAAAGGCTGCTGGAAGAGAATTTCACTCTGCAAAGACATTAACTAGCATAGGAATGCACCACAAATGGATTCAGATGTTGCAGACAAAATGGTAATTCATTCAGTCAATGAAGCCCGGACACTTGCTCTCTTAGGTGTAGGTCTCCTGTGAGCTTGTCCCGCTCAGCTTGTCCTCCTCACATACTGGTGAGATTAGTGAGCAGAATTTGCAATGTCTTCAGCTTATAATAGGCTGAAGCTGACAAAGAAGGAACCGCTGTTCCTGTTACATTACCTTAAGAGAATCAGGATTCTTAATGTAAGGTTCAGCACTGCTGGCAATGTTTCCCGTAAGCACCTTTTCTATTTTTGCCACTAATACGATCTCAGAATGAGGATTACTTATGGAGAAAAGAGCCTGTGGATCAAAGGGAGAATAGTTAAAAAGTACAGAGCAAGACCGGAGCAATTAAATACTGCCAGCGCTCTCTGTTGATGGAAACAGTAACAAAGCAAATGCAGAAAGGATTATCGAGGATTATTATCTCTACATATTCAGGGCGCACATGCAGCACCTTGTGAACAGACTGACTCAAGTCAAGAAGCAGTATGACCATGTTAGCATCAGTTAACCTCACTGTTCCTCTTGGACAGCACTTAAACGCTGACCTAAATCAGTCACACCGCAGGGGAATGACAGGGACTAGAAAAGGTAATGTATGGGGTTTTGGGGTGAGGCTAACAGCAAGTATACGGAAGTACTTTGAGATTAATGTAGCATCTAGGTATAGCTTTTAGTTGTGATTTTGTTTGGCTGGTTTGGGAGAGGTCAGCAAATGAACCCAAAGAGCACAGGAAACATGGAAGGTTTCTCTAAATAACAGAGACTAACGTTTTTCAAAGTTTGGACGGTAAACAGTTTTAAAGTCTATACAGGGAGCTCAAAAATCAAGCAACTGTATACAAGTACCACTGACACACAAGAAAGAGTATTCTTGAGAACAGGAACCACTGTTAATACAGATAAATTCTCTGATGAAAATGAATACTACTACTGAACTAAAATAAGTCTCACGAGTCACTAAGTCATGCAAGTCATGTGGAATACCTGTTTTGGGTATTTCAGCCATTCTTCTGGGAAACCCTTGACATGTGGTTCTTCCATTTCGTTTGGGTCTATATTTTCAACAGTGCCATTTTCTAATGAAAACAAGGAACCTGAAATCATCTGTCTAACGAGTGTGTGGTTCAAATCCACATGAAAATCAGCAGATATCTTCCTGCCATCCCTGATGTCATACAGTGCCACGCTCACAAAGAAAGGCTCTACCTGGAGAAAATACCAGAAACATAACACAGCTGTAACTGAGAGCAAGGGGGTAAACTCTGTCTTTTAATTGGTTCCTGCAGCTAGAAAAAAAGAAAGCAAACAAATATTATTTACAGATTATTTGATTCATTAAAAACATGCTCACACACACCCCTGCCAAAGTTAGCTTCCAACCATGTGATTTTAGGAGTTTTTAAAGGTAATTTGTTAACAATATGCCAGAACAGTAATTGACAGCTAACTTAGAAACTCACAGAATAAAAAACAAATGTATTTGTCACAGATAATTATTAGAGTAAACGAGCAGGAGCCCCAGAGAAACATGTTACAGGATTTTTAAAATGTAGATTCAGAGTAATTATAAAAGAAAGAAGAATGAGGATGGGCTTTCCAGGGATTGTCAGAAATATGGCACAAAGATGACAAATATAAGTAGATGAAAAATGTTTACTGGTACAAAAACAAATGTGTGGGCGTTCTATTCTGTGGGAAACACATGTTCCATTTTGCTAGGAAACCAAAAGCATTCAAACCGCCCTGACAGTACCCACTTATTCTATCACATGGTACCAGGGAATGAAGTCCTAGGACTGTAAGTAACCTCCAAAGCGCCTCCATAGTTCTGATGAAATAAATCAGTCTCAGAATAATACCTCCTGAGCTGTCCAGAAATCAGAATCTGAAAACTGTGGAGATAAGGAACAATGCCTAAGAAGTACAACATTCTATTCTTTCTCAGCCTCTGTAGCGAATTCCCTTGGTACAGTTATCGTGACTTCATTTAAACCGTTATTCCAGTCTGCCAAAAAAAAGTATTGATTACATCATGCTGAATATGCACTCACTGTAGAGGTCATCTTCAAATGGGAAAAAAAAAAAAAAATCAATGCCTCATATGTAATGTATGAAAGTCGAGTTGCCAGGACACTTATTTCTCAAAACTTTCCTGCTTCAGAGGAGAACTAACTAAAAGCTATGAATGGACAGCTATATGTCGCTTTTCCCTGCCCTTTTTTCTTCAAGTAAGAATAAGCAGAATTTTCTGTTTTGTCCTGTTTTTAGCTGGGCTTTTACACTAGAAGAAGCATCCAGTCCTTTCTATTTTGCTTTCTCTTCTGTAATTTAATCTGCTCGGTTCCTGGTCTCTCTCTGAAAAACAAAACAACAGTTCCCCAGCAACCGATATTCAGTTGTCTCCCTACATAGGTCTTGGCAGTTTAAACTTGTTCTGCTTATAGCAATTGTTAAGAATCCTCAAAGATTTTAACATTTTTTCATTCCCCATTGAACTGTAGCTAAAAGTCTGCAATACAAATCAGCTTCAAAATGTTTACTGAAAAGTTTATCAGTTTCATTATTCAATCCAAAGGGATGGGCAGAGGAGGAGGAGTGAATGCAGCATGCCTGTGTGATACAACTTTCCTTTTACCTTCTCTTTCCAAAGTAACAAGCGCACAGAAAGAGAGAAAAAAAGAAAAAAAAAAAGAAAAAATGAAAGAGAAAAAACGGATGGAAATAAATCAAGCTTACATTGGTTGAAGGATCATTTTCATTTTCAGTAACACAGGCCTGGAGATTCAAACTGAGGGATTTGCAAGTTATCAGGATCCTCTTTGCAGGCTTTTCTTCAAATGGCTTGATCACCAAGTTTGTCCCTGGAAACTCCTTTTTCTGAGGATTCAATGACTGAAATAAGTTGGGTGACTCGTTATACATGGGAAAAGCATGGCTTTCTAAAACTAGACAAGCTTTTTAAAGGTCTTGGCAATCACTGAAGCACCTGAAAACCTCAAAAAGTCACTGCTGATATCTTCACTTTACCATAGCAAATGAGTGTTATCCTGATTTACAGATTAGGAAGCAAAAGGATTGCCTGAGGACACACATGATGTCAGTGGTAGAATTAGGGATGCAAGTTCAGTTTCCTATAATTTTAGAACAGATTTTTTTCTTGTTTACTTATTGCTTCTGAAACTTTAGCTTTGAATTTCCTCATATAGATTAAACAGCCTCAGATTTTCACATTGTAACAACACATTTTAGGATTAGATTTCAGACCTTTTCTTTCCCCTTATATATCATACCACTAGTTCAATTTGCTTAATATTTTTAACAATGGAGCTACAGTTGATTGACAAGAGGTTAAAGTTCGAATATATACTGGTCCCGATTTTACTGAAGTCTTCTTTTTAACTAAAATAAAGTTTGCAGTTAAATCACCAACAAATGTACATTCAGTGCAAGGAACAACATTCTTTGAATCATGAACTCTGACACTAAATGATAAGCAAACTGAAGATAGGAAGAGAAGCAATTTGCACTCCCTACATTTCCAGCTAAACTTTTTTCACATAGATAGCCTTTTGTACACTGAACTGTACCTCCCACTGCTTTTTCTATCCATTCATGTTTTTGTAGTCAAATGCAGTGTAATGAGTAACAATAAAACACTGTTCTTGTAACATACCCAATACTCCAGGAGAAGGTTCTGCTCCTGTAATATCTGCAGTTTGCTTTAATGCTTCAAGGTTTAGCTAGAGGGTACTAGATGACCTCCAGAGACCACTTCCACCCTCAATCACTCTGTGATCAGATACGGGCAGAGTCTAGAAATCTCTATGGACTAGAGGCAGCTTCCCTCACCCTTCACCCTAAGCTGAAGTCTCTGGTATACCCACTTGCTTGCTGAACTCCAATCCACTCTGGTAGCTTAGCTAACCCAGTTAGCTCAGACCACCCATATGTTAAAACTTCTGTGAACTTAGGGGTTGGGGAAAAAAAAAAAAATAAAAAATCACTTACTGCTATATCAGGATCCAAAGAGAAAAGATTGAGTCGCTCTGTATTTCGAGAGGCTTTCACTGTTTCTTCTGTTTCTGTGATATACTGTGGTGACAGACAATAAATTAGTTTTCTGCACAAGAACAGAAATCCATAGAGTTGTTAGACTTCTAAATGAATGATCAATGATTCACTTGTAACAACACTTCTCATTTCTGCAGTAGTTATCCCAAAGCACCTTCAAGCACTCTTTGAAGGTTATATGCTTGTGAACCAGGGATTTTCAGGCCATGATATACTTCTAAGGAACCCCAAAACAGATCAATTAAGTAATTCAAGTTCATATACATTACTAAAGAATCTGTTGTGTAAGATCTGAGAATGGTGGATCACTGCACTAAAATGCAGTGGGGACTCCCAAGTTGAAGAAAAAAAAACCAAACAACCCAGCCCCACAGAAATCACTTGTGTCAAAGGGAGGGCAGAAAGGGGAGCAGGAAAGTGCAGCTCAGCCTTACAGGTGGGCAGACACACAGACTGCAGCGTGTCATCCAAAGGTAAAGCTGGGAGTCCTCATCCATCCTTCTGCCACAAGGCAGGATCACTCACACTTATTTTATTTCTGATGGATACATGCTTAAGTTAACAATACACTCTCTGATAACATCAACTCAACAACTTCCTGAAGCCACCTGGTGCTGTCCTGTCCTACCTTTAAAAAGTTTATCACTATGGCTAACTTTGATAAATTTTTCCTCACTATTTAAGCCCACTCGTGCAGTATGTGAAGTATGCCCTACACAGTCCCTTCCCCTTACAGATCCCCCATGATATCTTTGAAAGCTTTTTTCTCAGTTTAAACAGTTTTTCAGTTCCTTCAGTCTTTCTTTGCACTTTGTTTTTCCTAACTTTTCTTTAGTTTTCAATCTCTGAACTATTGACAGAGTCCACAACTTTCCTGGTTGCCCAAGACTGAGTACGAACCTTAGCTGACATGGTACAGGCTATGCTCTTGTTTAGGTCCCATTCAATGTTTTGTGTTTTTCACAATAGCACGACATTGCTGACACACATTAAGTAACAAGCAGAAGCTGCACAGCAAGACCAAGAGCTCTGTATTCATTTCTTAACTTGCAGAAGCAGGTCCTGATATGTTCATGGTGTACTGGTTTGGGTGGAAATGGGATCAGGAGATTTACCTGCCATGGACTAGGGACAGGCCACAGATCACTGCTGTGGCCAGGCCTACAGAGCAAGGGGGGCAGAACAGGAATTAACCATACAAAGGGCAATACAAGCATCACACAACATGCAGACTATCTATTTTAGCCTTGCAGGCCACTAGTGGTCTTTGAGAAATCTTTAAGATACCTTTGAGATATCTGCATTAACTAAACCATTAGAAAGTATCTATCCACAGACAAGCTGATCAGATACTACTTTTGTCCTTAACAGATAAACTCAGTTACATTTTATCTGGTTGGTTGGTTGTTTTGTTTTTAATTTTTAATTTTATTTTTAAATTCTAGGAGGCCACTTCATATATATGAGAATACAACACACAGTAAAATGTAAAACAAATTCTGTCCTCATTTGCACATACTGCTTTCAGTTCAAATCTGTGGGAGTATCATCCTCAAATAGCACATGGCTATAGTAATTCACTGACAGAAGATTACAATCATACATAAATTTAAGAAAAAAATAGTGAAATATTTCCAATGTAGCTTTTCATCAAAAGCTTCTTAGCACCATCTACAATTATCTCATCCACATGAAGCAGTTTATGAGATCCAGAGGACAAAATGCCTCCCCTGATACTACATGCATCTTTCAGTGAAATTACAGAAGGCAATGAGCAGTGCACAGCTTGTTTTCTTGCAAGTCACACAGGAAATCCTGGCTCTCCAAGGACCAAAATCTTCTGAAATGCAATTAAAACCAGTAAATATTTCACAGATAACTGCAGGAACCAGACCCTAACTTACTTCATAGGTCTAAACCAAACCACTCAAAGCACCTACTTTCTTTACATCCAGTGGAGCTTTTCTCATTTAAATAAAGCCTTCAGCTGTTCAGAAAGAAAATTATTCCTGTCACTTGTCATGGTTTTAACAATCATAACAGGATGTGTTATATTTTCAAACCTTTCACAATATTAATAATAATCTATTGGCAGTCATTTTTCACCTAAGCAGTACCTTCCACTAAACTTATAAAGATAAATCCATTACTTTTGAGAAGTCTGGGTGCAAGGCATTCTCTGAAGAATCAGTCTCTTCTTGAGAGCAATCATAATTCACTGAAACTTCTGCAGGGTCTTGAAAAGAAGGAAAAAATAAGCAAATGTTTTTATTATACTTGCTATTACCATTTGGCTTAAAAAAAGGAAAAAGAAAATCTATCCCCATGCCATTTCTTTTTATTCCCTTTATTATCACCAAGCTCACCAGTGGAAGAGATACTAATGTAAACCTCTGTCCTCCACAACCTCATCTCCCACTGGTGCTTACTGTAACTTAGTCTACATTTAAGCTTTCAAACAAAAGCCCTGCCTCTACTCCTCAGTGAAATGTCCGACACATTCGTCCATGACAAATATCCATGCCCACAACAAAGACACCTTCCTTTGCTCTCTCAGTCCCTTCTGAGGCAACACCAAGTGTTCCTGTTAACTGAAAGATTTTGGAGTCCCAGTAAAGACAGACAGGACCTTACCTGCTCTTTGGGAAGGGGAGGGATGCAGCCTGGACTCCATTAGCTGCACATCCAGCACTATATAGCAACTCCTTTGCCTTACTTAGCTCACCATGGACCATTCTGCTTTCACCAGGTAATTCAGCCCAATGTGAAAAAAGTCATTACAGCCATTTAGAGCTCTTCTGCCAAGAAAGCATCATGTCTTTTGACAAGTTAACTCCATAGTACATTCCTGTTGCTTGTTATCAGGGTTTTTACCAGTAGAGACTTCTGTTTTCTGTTAGTCTTATGTCTTTGACCTTTTATGCATATATTTCTTTCTATTTCATTAATATCCCTCACGGGTGGGATTTTCAAAAGTACTTCTCTGATTCTGAAGTGCAAGTCTCTTGTGGCTACAAATTATAAAAACATCTTTGGCTATATGAAGAGTATCCTGTCTCTCCAAAATCAGAATTTATTGTAAACACCAGGCTAAAGCCTTCAATTAGCTCTAAACTTCCCCAAGATCCAGAAGCATGTGGATTCAAAGCTTTCATTCAGCTCAGAGCACAAGCAGTTCAAATATGTATTAAGGTTTCAAGTGTTTCCAGTCTTAGAATTTCAGCTGGGTTTCATCCAAACTGAACGTGGATTTATTATGTGGGGGAATGAGTTACTGCCACATGAAGAGTGCAGTATAACAGAGCATCCAATTCTCTCTTCCACAGTGAAGCATATTAATACACAAACTTATAAAACCAAGAAATGAAGTCAATAAGCTTCCAGGGAAAGAACAATATACCACAGCTGGAATTTTTTTAATTATTAGCTCTAGATTTTTAACGAAAACAAAACGCTGGAAAAAGAACTGATCTAACCTCTCTCCAGCACAAAACTCTTTAAAACCCTCAGACTCCTGAGACAGTAAATCACAATGTATTAGCAAGATCATTGAAAGAGAGGACTCTATCTGAAAAAGAGCTGCATATGCAAAGCAGAGCCACGTTGCTCCTGCTGACTTTGTGGGGAGCAGCTTTACCTCCCCCACAGCCTTTTGAAAATTATCTGTGGGGAGTTAAATGACATTGTCCAGGGATTGCCAAAAGACTGGTGCTGCTTCGTCAGATATCAATAGGTGCAGAATCCATTACAGACTCAGGCAGTTAAAATGATTCAATAGTGATACCTGAAGGTGCAATTTTTTTGCATTTGATTAAAACAACCCAAAACAATACAAAAGACTATTCACTCTTACCAAGTTTCAGATCAGTGAGATCTGCACTTTTCCTCTCCTGAATGGTTCCTTCTGGGTTTATTTGCAGGATTTTGTTGAGAGTGAAAATCCAGTCATCCATATCCTGCTCGTTTTCAGCTGCCAGCACAAAGTATGTGAGGTCATTCATTTTCAACTCAAAAGCATGTTTCCTAAGCCTGTTATTCTGTTGGAACAAAAGGAAAAGAAAAATAAATACTAGAACTAATTATAAAAATGTACTGAAAAAGGCATCCATAAGATGGGCTTATATATGGTCACCCCTTAAAAATAATATTCAAGCAAAATTCAGTGGCTTTAAAGAAAATCCAAGTAGTGTGATATTAACACAAATTTAAGTCAATTTACCATTGGATCTCTGTGCATCTAAGGTCTTATATATAAGACCAAATATACGTCTTCTATTTAGTCACAGAAATCTAAGACTCTGGACAATAACTCTTCAAACTACAGCAGGGAATACCTCCCAAGTAGAATAATGAAAGACCTCTGACGGCAAAGTACTGCATTGCTACATGAGTCGTAGTTGTCTGCAGAGAACACCTCTACAGCTGAAGTCTCCTACAACTTACACCAGACTCTCAAAACGATACTAACTTGTGCTAAGTCAATTTCTGTCATAAGAATTAACAAGTGCTTAGCTACTGAAATTGCTCAATAAAATTAAACAAAGTGATGGGATCTAATATAATGTGCTTCATTCCTCAAATTTATCGAATTAGTGAGGCTTTTGTCTCTTAGTCTTATGGAAGCAGTTGCACCAAATGTCTCTCCTCCTTGCTTAAATCTGAATGAACAGACACGTCTAACTCTCTATATTACTTCATCAAACTTTTACCACCGACTATGGACATCAGTGCCACTGTTTTTTTTTCAATATTCTAGAAAATTGCCATCACTTTGTTGATACATCTAACATTGGAGTGATGGTGACAAATGAAAAACAATTAATCCATCCCATAACTAGTCACTCAGTTTTCACTCAGTTTTATTTTTCTTCATTAACAGTCTCAAATAATACGACAACTGTATCCTGTAACTATTTCTCAGTACAGTCCTATATCAACAAGTTACTAAGAGTATCTTATAAGCCAGATGGTGATATTATTGTGATATTTTTATTTAAATCAGGCAAAATCTGATACTGATTAGCACAGAAGGAGACAGAGAACCTAAAACACTGAGAAAAAAGTTCCATGAACGCTTTTTTTCCAGCAGCAGAGAGGATTTAGAAGATTCTTGCCCAATCTGTTGTTAATCACTTGCTCCAGTCCTCAAATTACATGTCACGACCCAGTTCAGGAATCAGTTAAGACTGAACAACTTCTTCTGGAGCTACTTGGGTCAACAGAGTCAGTCAAATCTTGGCTTTTCAAAATGATTTGGGATTGTGTGTGTGCATGTGTGTTATTTTTTAGTTCTGCTACTGGAAATTCTCTTGGTAGGAAACAGTTTTCCTCTCAAGTACTACATTGAGGTGAATATTCTTTCACAGATATAAATTTTAGTTCACCCAACACAGTCTAAGAATAGTTGGGCGTTACAGCACGTGGTTCCTGGATGCCCAATATTTTTCTTTATCTTGAAACCATTCTAATTTTCCAATAACTGCATATACTCAAATTAATGCAAAACAAGGGCTTAAATTACACTGAAACTTGTTTTTACTGATAGAACATAAGGGCTTGACCAAGAGCTAGAAGTTGAACAAAACTATGCCAAGAATCTCAGGTAGTGGCCATTCAAAATTTTTAAAGATAGATTATTTGTATGAGTGGATTATGTACACCAATTTATGCACAATCTATAAAGAAAAATGCTACGTTTCAATTTACGTTCAGACAGTATAGACAGCATTAAAATGAATGTCCTCCTTACAGACATGGCCAAGATCTTTACATCAGGTACTGTAACACTATTAGACATTATCTAATAGAGCAATGCATCTCACATGATGATTCTTAAGAACATTAGGGCAGGAAAACTTCAATATCCACTTTTCCATCTGCACTTCAGACTTCTGGCAAGCAGAAGAGATCTACAGCAAAGTCTTTGTTTCAAATCTAAGGCCAACTATTTTCTTCCTGATCAGTTAACAGGAGAAAAAAAAAAAAGCACCATTTCTCATTTTGCTTCTCTGTAACTTCTTCCATATGGTATGTGGACCTTGAGGTTGACTTTTAATCTTCAACACTTAATTTTAAGTTTAAAATTTCTTCCAGACGGAAATAATACAAGATTCAAAAAGAACCTATGGACGAGCTAGAAATGAAACATCAGGCTAAGTCTAATGCCTACAGGGACATTCTTACAAAATAACATAATTGTTTTGTATTTCGTATTTTATCTGGAGATTATTTCTTCAGGATGTTTACTACAATTTAAATATTCAACCTCTATCAAACAGGAGCTCAAAGTCATTCACAGAGAGTCAAATGATTTACAGTGCTATTAAAACTCACTAAATAAGAACTTTAACATCACAGTTTTCCTCTAAATCTTCAGTTTTACCCAACTCTCTCCACACTGTATGGTTTCCTTGTTTATGGCAAGGTTTTGTTTTTCACCCCTATGATTCTAGGTTCAGCACAGACTTTGATAGCTGATGACACTTGCCTTACTACCCCCTTGGCTTAAGACTCTCACTTCTTGCTAGTGATAGCACAAATTTCTGCATCCTGTTCTAAATGTCAATCAAAGGACAACCATGAGAGCTAGTGTCTGGGGGTAGAGGAGACGAGAACAAACAGTTCAAACAGTTTGGGTTAATTTGCAGGAACACTGTAGATTTAAAAGGCAGCTGTCAAAGTTCAGGAGGAAGATTTCTAAGCTTTTTGAGCTTTTTTTGTCATAGGTTAGACAAAAAGGCCAGAAATCTTGCAGTCAAGACACTTCTGCTACCACGGAGCATCATCAGAAACAACACAGTAGAACACACATTATCTGAAATAGCATTAAATCTGTACCTAAAACCATACTACAGGGACATTCAGGGCTCAACTAGAGCTCTGGCTAAGACCTGTCTTAAAAGAAAGCACACACTGCCAGTAAGCAGGAGGAAGCAGTCATTTCTAAACAGGATTTCTAGGTAAGAATCTCCTCTATGGCTTCTGCCACAATTTCAAGTACCCATTAGGGTCTTTCAAGCCAATGGACTGACACATGCAAACATAACTGTCCTTCTATATATTTATCTCCATCCTGTCCTACACCTGTTTGAAAAAAGAAACATCCTTTTGAAGTACTCAGGGGAACTGTCATTCCCTAGAGAGCTGGGTTCTTTCCTGGGTGCAGGAATGAGGTTCTGGAGGGTGCTGTCAGCAAATACTTGTTCCCAGAGTGAATTACTCACTGATGTTTGTTTTTTTTTCTCCAAAGGGCCTGTTTAGGGGTGAAGGAGAGAATTCCCTACAAACAAAAGCTTGTGTTTATCAGGGATCTTCCCTTGCACTACCTGAAAGGTTTCTCTCAAAGCAACCCTCAAATCAGTCTGCCCTAGCACTGTTACCAATCTTTACTGGTTAAGTACTAAAGAATGAAGTACAGCTAAAAAAACCCAAATGTCCTTATTTAGTGACATATGGAGCTAGATCAACCACAGTAACATACTATTCAACATAACATCTTGTTTCGAATGGAAGAAAGAAAAAAAAAAGAAAAAAGATAAACACATTAATAGAATTAGAGGAAAGGCAGAGCAAGAGCACAGGGTAAAGCTAAGAACTCAGTCTTAGGGGGAACAAAAGAAAAGGTAGTGTCAGACATTTATGGTTATTTATTTTTCCACGCCACAGCAGACAATAAGGCTCTGTCCTACCTGCTGCCATTAAGAATCTCTATCACCTCCAAAAGTGATGATCTTCAAGGAGGCTCGGGATACAGGATTAGTTTACCACTTGCCCAACAGTCAATGCTTTGTAACCTGAGTCTCTTTAACCCACAACAAGCAAGAGTGCTCTTAGTGAGCATGAGGTAAAATCTGGCACCTAAGAAAATAATGTCAGTGAAAAGAACCACTTTATGATATATTTTCTCATGCATGGCATGGGTGAAGAGCATATGCATGATTTGCTACCATAATTCAACTGTGGTTTCTATAACCTGTGAGTCTGAGCACTTGCACCAATTTAAAGAGCAAAACTAATGGTGTTTTCATTTCATTGAACTGCTAATAAGACCACTATTCTATTAATGTATGTGTTTTTCTATTTGCCTTTTAAAATTTATCTGACATCCAAGCAACACAATGAAATAAATTGAAACCTACCTGTACCACTCCTGTGCAAGAATCCAAGAAAATACATCCCTTTGGCTCCTTGGATATTTTTTCATCTTTATAAAAATTCATAATATAGGAGTTATCTGACAACTGTGTCAGCTGGAAGTAGCGCTTTTTAAATGACTAAAGTGAGGAGGGGAAAAAAAAAAGAATGACAACTTTTGAACTGCAAATTATTTTCACTGATACTTTATTCACAGATTTTAAATAACAGGCAACTCCTAACTGCACTTCAACTGTACTATTTTGCAGACAACTGCAATATTACTTTACTATCATTTAAACCAACGTAATCAAACCTGAGATATAAACAGCTAAATGACAATGGCAAACAAGCGTGCCTCTGTGGGGGATACAAATCCAAATGGAATAAAGAAAGAATAATGTTGTCCCCTTACCCGAACAGTAATGCTGTTGTTTACAGTGCTGTTGAAATTCCCTTTATAAAGCCATCCAGACTTGTAAACTCCTGCTGCTAATCCTCCTCCTCCACCACCACCACCTTTTGAAGATGAGTGGGATGTTGTATCCTGTATGAAACACATGATTAATATTGCATGGACTTGCTTTTTGAATTCTAAGGCGAAAGAAAACTGTAATGTGTGAATATCTGCTTGACAACAAATAATCATCCTTTCATTCCTTTTAAAATAAGATGTTATTAATATGCCTGCTGTGCACATGATGACATAAAAGATAAAGCTTTCCCACTAACTTCAAAGTTATTTAAAATATGAAATATTTTACAGGAGATAACAAGCCTCCATTATCAGTCTTTATTTGATATTAAAGCAATAAATAACTTCCCCAGGGGGAAAAAACCCCCCAAAAAACAGAATACATACTTCATCCTTATCCACATCTTCATGATCAATTTCAAAGGAATGTGATGGCAGTTTCTCTGGTCTAAATTCATTTCTGGGAAGGAAGGAAAAATGTCTTTAATTTTTTTTTTTTTTTTAAATAATCATGTGTCTGCTATTTCAGGAAGGCAACCATCCCGAGCCCCCATGGCATCTTCAGCACACCTATTGCTGTGATCCTATCATCTCCTTTCAAAATACAGGTTTTTTTCTCAAGCCCCATATATCCTTTTCTTTCAACAATATGAAGTTGCAACAGTTCTATACAAACAACAAAATATACTTTTTGTTCTCTTTGCTGCTCTTCCACCACAACAGGCAACAAAACCCAAACAACTTCCAAAAAGATACCCCATTTAAGGCTGTCAAATGAATGAGAATGCACTCTTTAACAGAAAAACATTGGAACATTCAGCTTAAAGCTTCTACATTTATTCAATATTTCAAGATATTTTTTACTAGTCAATATGATAAGCACAGCCTTAAACCAACTTTTAAAAATATAAATGTCCTTTTGATGAGGTGCCATTTAAGATTTTCATATTGTGGACATAAAACCAAAACTGAATATGAAAAAGCAAAGCACTTAAGAACTTGCTTAATTTTAAGCACATAAGTAATTGTACTTAGGCCCAATGTACTTTGCATGTTGCAGAACTAAACCTTAAGTGACAACCAAATACACATGATAAAAATTCAAAGATATTTTTAAATGGAGAAAAAAAATACATTTTTCTGTGGCCTGGGAAATACCAACATTGTTTTCAAATTCCTGAAGATTTGAAATCTCCTCTTGGAAATCTTCAGTTATCATATGAAAACCTACAAAAGTTATTATGCTAAAAGCTATTATTTTTCAGGAAAACCTACTTTTCCAGGACTTACTTTTATCTACCCAGCCTGAGAACGGGAACAGAGCAACACTACTCTCTACTGTGCAAGGAAGCAAATCCAAACAGAAGCTGAGAGACCACACACTCCTAAACCAGTTTCCTCTCTCAGCTTATCAAACTTTAGCCCACGTTAGCACATAATGCTAAATGTCACAAAGTTAAAAAAAAAAAAAAAAAAAAAAAAGAGTGGTAACTTTGACCCTTCTCATTTTCTATTCATTCCTACACAAGTTACAGATTAGGAAGATTAGAGCAATGAGCAATACCTATCTCCTCTTCACTTTCCCCACTGCACAGTCAGGGTGCTCATGATGTGACTCCCCCACCGCAACTGAAGTCAGCATTTCAGCAGAGCCAGGAGAACCAAGTGCACACAGAGCACAGGAGTGTTTTATTCTTTGTTTTAGTTTGTTCTGGCATTTATTTAATGTAATCAACTGATCAACATTTTGAATAAAAGGAACATCTGCAATCTATTGACATCTGTAAAAGTGTTAATATTCAGAATATTTGTGACTGAAATCCATTGCAGGTTTTCCAATGCAACCAAGGAAAGCTGTTAAAAACTCTTACACAAACACTTCCTTCCCACTCAAAAGAACCCAAACCAAAAATCTCAAGCCAAATCTCAACTTTTACAAAAAACCACCATTCAAGCCTTCACAATTTTAGACAAAAAACCCATTGGCTTATTCATTATTCAGAGCTAAAAGCACACCACAGTGCTTTTGGGGTGATGTGCAGGCAGACTGACCGATGCTCTCTGGCCACACATGGACAGGTAACACCAATGCACACATTTGCTTGAGGATCTGTACCAGTAACGGGACAAGTTAGTCAGCTGCTGAAAAAAACCCAAAACAAAACCCCCACCCTAATGCCATTGATGCTACAGGGAAGGGGAAGGATGAGTCAGAAATCTGCTAGATTAGCAGGGTGCTGACCCCTCACCAATGACACAGCATCTCCATGGTCAGAGAGTGAGCCTGCCCCACTAAACCACAGCCCTTGCACAAGCCTGGGTACATGGTGAGTTTCTTAGAAGGAAATCCTTCTGTCCTCTCAGCAGAGCTGTAAAAGAGACAGAAAAGGACGGACCACTACTGCTTCAGGTGTTAGATCTCACTGATCACCCATGAAACACTCATCCACTCAGATCCTTGTGTCATTCTCCACAGAAGAAGTTTTTCCCTTCCTTAGATGGGAATCCTTTTGGGCACGTTCCTCATCATTCTAGGACAGACATCTAAAGCGTGCTAAGGACATGATCCTCTTTGGTATACTCTCTGTTTCTCTGCCTCTTCAGTCCCATATGAAGATGCAGAATTCCAAGGGACCAGACATGAAATATCTATCAAATGTTCCAGGTTTTCTATAAACTACAGCAAAATCTTTGCTACTCAATATTTCTGTGTCCAGGCACACTGTCAGCACAGCACACACTGAGCAACTCCCGTTCTTCCTCCTTCCACCCTTCCACTTGCTCAAGAAGCAAGAACACACCAGCACAAAGCACAAAAAATGGTGTAAAAAGAGGTAGTGAGAGCTCACAGAGAGGAATTTGAAGGGTAGAAAGACCTGATAAAAACCTCAAAGGAGGAACACAGTCAGAGAAAAACTAAAGTAATTGCTAAACATTTTGGTCATGTTGTTGTGCACATGTCATTGAGTTCTTCCCTGGTGCCAAAGCACTACATCAGTGGAATTGCACCATGGCCATGTTGAGTCCTCACTGCCTGCCCAGGTGGTCAGCAGCACATCACAGCTGCTTCTCAATCAGAAAGGGTCAACAAATAACTTCGATATCTGATAAAAATCTGCTATACCATGCAGCCATTACTTGACAATATTTTATAACTGTGTGAAACAGCCCAGCACAGCCTCATGTACAAATATGAAGTTCTTCAGTGTTGCTGAAAGCTGCTGAGTCCCAATTAGTGTGTTTCTAAATGGGAAAGCCCATAGGAAGGCTCAGTACACCCTCAGTGACTGGAGTACTTAGCCACAGTTAGATCTGGTATTGTAAGTGATGTTCCTCTCTCATGACACAAAGCTAAATGCTTAACACTCATCCAGTCTTCCCTGATACAAAGATTTGCTGTAAAGGGATTGATACAACAATATGCTGAGAATTTTGATAGTGAGACAGCAGTTTTGCACATATGAAACAAAAAAAATGTGGAAACTGGGCATCCAGAGCTATTAACAATGAGATACTGCAGCAAGGACGTATCAAGCCACGTTATTTTTCATGAGAAAATATATGTGCAAATCAAGATGTTGATGAGGCTGGAAATGGTATGAAATGAGGTGCGCTCCAAACAAGCTCTGTTTTAGGTATGTTAAGCTCAAAGCCATGGCAACTTTCAGCAAAGTACTGACACTCCTGCTGTATCTTTGCTTCAGAAACATCAACCAGTGCTGCATCCAAATCATTCCCGAATACTATGTTCTGATACAAGACAAAACAAGATCTCGTTTTGTTATAATCCTCTGTGCAAGGGGGAAAAAAAGTAAGATGTGAGACACCATAACATCCCTGGAGCATGAACTCTCTATAGAAAGCAAATCATATTAAGCACCACAGTAAAATAACCTTCACAGAAGATGTATGTGATCAGCTAAAACGTACTTTTGTGCGCAGTAATGCAACCATGTCTGTCAAATGCATATTTCATAAGAGTGAAGATACTTAAGGTTAAATGGAAAACTGCTGTGCTGACAACATTTTTCTTGAGCACTAAATGCATTAATTTTCTAAAACAATCGGTACACACACTGGGTACTTATGAAAAGGTATGTTTATAATCTCTGATTAGCAAAACTGCTCTTAATGCTTAATGGCTTTTTGTACTACCATATTCACTGGTCATAAAAATAAAAACATACAAGAGAGAATGCAGATCTGAGGGAAGGCTTGCAGTACAAAACCCTCTGAACGCAGCATCTAAAGGGACAATACAACTCAGTTTATCAATTCTTGCAACAATATGTTTAGTTAGTACTAGATTCCATCCAACTCAAGCTTGGAGCACCCATTCCTGTGCACATAACAATCTTTTTCATCCAGTATCATGATTTTAATGTTTTGAATTCCAGGAAAGGAGGTGGTAACACAGCTCATTTGGGCATTCACTGACTTCATTAACTCCTCCCTAAAACAGTCTGCATGGCACAAGACACACACCTGCCAGAAACAGGAGTATGGGTAGAAACTCATGCATGAAGAGATGAGCTCCACATCTTTTTTCCACTCATGTTAAGGAAATTGTTCATTCTCCTCCCAGCACCTTTACACTAATTTTAATGTACTGCCTCCAAGCACAGAAGGGATGCCCACTTACCCAGACACCTGCACATTTCTGCAGCCTTGTATCACCAGTGCTGTACCAGTGCGGGCCACATGCATTGCACCCAGTTCTTCTGTACAGTGCAGCTATAAAGCACTAAGTGAAATCCTACTCCTCTGTTACACAGGGTAACTAAAAGGAGAATTAATCCCAGTTAAAGGTGAGTGACATTTATGCATTATTAAGGAAAACAGAAAGCCAGCTTTCCTGTATCAACTGTGCTTTGAATACGCAAATACGCTTCTAAGGATTTGAATCAGCACTAACAGAGTTTGTTGATACTAATGAATTCTGCAGAGTCTTGAACTTTTGCTGAAGGACCTTTTCTTCCCCTTTTTAGAAATGCAAGGCACTATAAACACAGTAAAACAAGCAGAGTATATAAGACAAAGGAAAGTAAAAATATGGACAAAGGTCAGCAAAATGACACAAACCTAATAGGAAAAAATAAAAAAAAAAAAAAGAAAAAGAAGAGCTTATGGTAGATCTTACTGTGGTAAGTGTCGAAAGTCTTCTGAATACTGTTCGTATTTGTAGTTCACAACATGCCACTGGGAACTGTAGTATTTACAAGCCTAAAGAGAGAAAACACAAACAACAATAGAATTACTACAATTATTTAGACTTATGAAGACTAGAGAACAAAGAAAGATCTGAGGGAATCCTTTGCTCTAGAGACCATATTCTTCTCTTTCATAGCCGGGTACACAGTTCTTAAAGGAAAGTCAGAGTCCTACTTTTCCATATTTTGAAGCACAATTTCCCTTTTAAATCAAATGCACATACAAGATAGAGGAGGAGGTTGATAGCAATTTAACATGCTTTACTGATTCTCTTCTACTCCATAGGAAGCATCATTAAACTATATCGTGACTACCTCAAAAGACACCACCTTTGTTTAGGTCTGACTTTCTCCATGGACATTAATTACACATTTTTTGCTCACATCCTGTTTCATTACCTAAGCTTTCCATTGTAAATACATTTGCCCTACTCCTTTTATTCCCCCTTGTTGCAGCACAAGACTTCTGCTTCTTGTTCTATCCTTAAGGATTGATCTTTAACCTCTTAACAACATTCAGGAATGTATTAACAGGACTATCATTTCTCACGAGAGTCTAATTTTCCCTTCCACACCAAATTTGCTCAGTCATCTCATCTTGTAGTTTTTATTTTCTAAAAAACTGCTTGCTAGTTTTGCTTTCATCTTTTTAAATCATCCTTAATACACCCATCTCCCTTAAATTAGGGAACCAGACCTGAACAAAGGCTATACTGAAGGGCTTTGCTATGCTGTCAAATAGACCAGAATAACTGTGCGATTTACTCGATGCAGAACTTTTATCAATGCAATTAAACACAACATAACATTTTTAAAGGCAACAAGATGCATTAAATATGGACAGGTACTGACAAGGTACACACCTAAAACAAGAAAAATGACACAATGTCAAAATTTTTAGTGATTCTTACTAGAGAGTGTAAAATGCAAACTGATACTTGTACCATACGCCTACCAAAGCCTACCCCTGACACCCATGTTCCTACACTACTCCAATGTTGCTTGCATTTTGCCTTTGAATAGAGGGGAAAAAACCAAACAAAACCCAACCTTTCTGTTTTGCAAATCTTCACAAAAAGTGACTTGGTCACTCTTGTATTTGTGTGATCTAAGTTTTAGTTCAAACTATTTGACAGTCACCTGGGCTATACGAATACTCTTACGAGAGCAACATATACTCTGTCCTACGTGAGCCAATGAAAAGCTCACTCACTGAATGGTGTGAGAATGAACACTTCACTCACTTTCTACTTGGCAAATGCAAACCAACTGAACCTTCTACAGAAAGGACCACTTTTTCCCTGTGGTTCTTTCATTACTAAGTATTCTACTTAAGAGATGCAATTAAAGTCCACAGAGAATTCTCAATGCAGGCTTTTATTGCAAACATTATAGGCTGATGTGTTAAAAAAAATCCAGTTGTGAATAACATATAGAGCAGGCCATAGTATTTCAGCTTAGAACTATAAAGGTTTATTGTGTTTTTCCAAGAAAAAAACTAATCAAAATAAAAATTAAAGAGGACAAGCAGCACATTCAAGTATCATTCAGTAAATTCACAAAAGGCAAGCCAATTCAGTGCAACAGCTAATGCTGTTCTTGAACCAGCTTGCTGTGGCTGTCTATTGTAAATTAGATCTAGTTTAAAAAAAGAAAAAAAAAAGAAAAAAAAAAGGTAAAGTTACAGCATTTTCTCTTCAAAACATCCCAACTAAAAATGAAATACTACTGCTGACTGTACTGACTTTTAATGATTTTATTTTTTTTAACTGGAAATTATTAGTGGAAACTGAATTTTAGCAATGAGGAAAAACACCTGCAAACCTGATTCGAGGAGCAAGAAAAACCTTTCTAAAGGCAGAGATTTCACCAAAAGGCCAGAGCTGGATGCTGTTGTTCCTGGCAAAGAGCAGAGGCACCAATGCAGGGGCTGTTTAGCTGAAGTGGACCGTGGGGGAGGAAAAATACAGACAGAGAAATGGAAGCTTTGGGATGTGGGAGTGTTGGCACACATTTGCATGAACTTTCCTACTGCATTGTTGACCAGGCAGGCTGCACAGCCCATTCCCAAGGGCCCTATCAAATTCAGGTCATTTCATTTCTTTTTTCTTGTTGCCCAGCTGGCCTAATTTTTCCTTAGAGAGACAGCCAGCCCTGCAAGCATTTTTCCACCTGTAACTTCTTAGCTCTGGTTTTGGCGATGACAGCATGATGGCTACCACAGTGAAAGAGACGTTTAAAAGATTTACCCTACCGTTCAGCTGAACCATTTGGAGAATAAAAACAGAACAAAACAAAACCAAAAGAGAATGGGAAGTGAGAGAAACAACAAAAATGAAACAACTTTGAAAGCAACTTCCCTACTTATATTCTCTCTAAGATAGCGGTAGGTATGTGGTCTTCAGAAACGCAGATGCATCTGTGATAAAAGTGATCTGTGAAACAACTAGACTTCTTGCAGAGAAAGTGCATGCACAGTTCTGTTTCCAAATTAATACAGTTTACATATTATAAAGTCCAGTGACACAGCAGTGTAACAAAGCAAAACATTAAAGCACACTATTATTTTAAAGTATTATACACTTAAAATATTTACTTCTTATGATACTGTAAGACCCACTGTCCTTTAATAATGTATGTCACTGTCCTGACACTACAGTTGTTTAAAGTACTGAAAGCACTTAAGATTTTGAAGATGGGGAAATCTACACTGTGATGAGCAATAATAAAACTTTCTTTGGGACATTTATCAACAGGAGTTCCCATTTTAATTTGACTTTGAAATATGTAAGAGCAATGTAGATTAGCTTGCAAATAAAAAAGCCTCAAGACCACCAGTGATGGCACTTGTGAACTGACCTAAGGCCCAGTGAGTCACCAAAGGAGCCCTTCCTGCAGCAGCCACCACCGCTGGATCGACTCCTGAAGCAAAATGGATGGGTCAGGAGGCACCTGGTCTACCTGGGAGAGAGGGATGAGACAGCTTCTCAGGCCCCTCTGGGCTCATTTTCCACAATTACACAGCATAACCTAGGGAAGCTTCTGCAGCAAGCTGTGCCATCCTGCTGCTCCCCCTGCACAGCTCCTGGCACACCCTTCCTCCTTAGCACCACCTCTGCAAACATGCTTCCCAAAAATATACCCAAGTAGCACCTAACATTTTTGGAGGGATCATCTGGCTTAAACCTCATTTAAAAGGACAGCTGACAGCTAATATTTATTTACTTTCTGGATTTTTTTTTTTCATATGTACTTAAAATGTCACTCCTTTAGATACCCAGACACAAACAGTATGCATGTGTGTGTATATGCACGCACACTTTCTGAAAATCCTGACTTGATGTAACCAATATGGAATTAAGTATGTTGCAATTAGATAGCTTCAGTTCCTCAAACTAAATATAACTCTGAATTGCAAAATGCACTGTCCCCTTATATTTCCGAACGAAATGTGGGAAAAATCCCAGGGATTGCCATTTGATCTGCATATTCAGGAATACAGAACTGGGAAAGGTGCTATTAGGAGTGTTTTCACTGTCTAAAAGCAATAATTTTATTTTATTTCCTGTAGAGTGAATGTTTCTATTTGCCAAAATGATGGACCACAAGGACAATGCTGACACATAATACATGCAGCAGACTCTGTGAGGAGTGAGAAAATTCAGAATTTGGGAGGAAACAGCATGGTACAGTACAGAATTAAAGGAAGTAATAAATACTTAGAAAAAATAAACACTGAAGACAATTTTATTCTGGCTTTAAAGGTTTCTGGAAACTTTTATTTTCATAGAACCTAATTTAGTAACTCAAGCTCCTCCTGCCTAAGAAAAGTTAAGGTGGAAAAATCCACAAGGAAAATGCCAGTTTTTTTATCAGACAACTACAGGTATAGGAATGATCAATTCACAAAGTATTACATTTAGAATATGCCTAATAATTAGGTATAAATTAATAAAGGGACTTGGATATTTATCAACCATAAAATGTAAAAAAATTATTCTCTTTGCATCCTACAGAAAATATTTCATTATCGAAGGGCTACTTATTTATTCAAACCATCTTAAATTTTATTTTTTTAAATTTTCATTTCACAATTTCATCAGAGAGGAGAAGGACAGACATCTTATTTAAAGTCAATTCTTCTGTCTCACCCTTTGCCATGACATTTGAACATCACCAACAGTGGAAGTTTTTGGTTACTGAGGAATCTAAAAGCAGTATTAGGAGAACTGAATTAGACTACTAGAGGCACAAACTTTCCACTACAGGTGGACAGCATCAAATGCTATTCATACTGAAAACTCTCCTCAGCAGTATCAGCCTCATCTTTCTTCATCTGGCTTGTAAGCTCTTTTGCATCCATAAACAGATATTGAACAGGCAATCAAGTCATCCTGGCATGCCTGGAAGAACTGTTTACGATCACTTGAGCAAAGGGAATCTGATCAAACCCCCAAGCTGTCATATTCACGGATTTTGGTAAGGGCTGGGGAAAAAACCTGATCCTTGAAGGACTCTATCAATGAAAGATCTAGAGGTGCAAGTAAAGCCTTCCTACTGTCACCAGTCAGAAACAAATGCCCAGGAAGAGACAGACAGGGTTTTAAGGTATTATCACAGACTTCTGACAACTCTTTTAAATGACACAGCAGACCTTATAGACAAGACCATCTTAGCACCACCAGAAGTCCAGAAGGATGAGACAGGAGGTGGTGAATCTGAGCTCTTGAAATAGTTTCAGTATCATTTCCTGACACTGCACGGTATGAAGAAAATGAGTTTCACCTGAAACAGCAGACCATTCATTTGTACTTATCTGACTTGCTGCACGTCTTTGCGTTGCAACTTGCTACACTACTGAGATGGTGTAACGTACACTAGTGACCGGAGACAGCCATTATCACTTACAGGGAACATCAAAATGGCTTCAGTGAGATGAAACTGTTCGTTGCCTTTGTGTAGCTTCTCCAACAGTCTGATCAGGAACTAGACATTTGACCTTGGGTTGTAACAAGTCAAGCTGACCAACAGATAGTCAAGTAGGTACAAGATGGATGCCTTCACTGTTCCTGATATCACAGTATATTTGAAGGAAGACAAGACTCCTTCGCTGAGTAAAGTGTTGGCTTTTTCACAGCTCCAAAAAAGAAATGAAGGTCACAAACTCCACTCCTGCACATATATCCAGAAGTGCTGAACACCAGCCTGGAACACAACAGACTACTGCTGGCTCAGTACACATTTGTGCAATTGCTGCAGCAGACTACAATCACCAACCTTCACAGCACCCCATGCTCAGTTTTACTTAATTTTGGAATAGAAATCGTCCTCTTCCTAGAGCATAATTTATTTTATATATAGCTTTTGGCTTTGTGGCAAAATGGAACATATCCATTACTACTCTAAAACAGGGTCTTATCCTGCTACTATTCCATGCACAGGCTTAGTTCTGTAGTACTGTTTTTTTTCCACTGCTTCGCTCCTCTCTCCCCCTCCCCTTGGCTCACTGGTATTGCAGAGAAAGCTAATATCTGTGCTCAATATGTATTTTACCAGGTTGTCATTAGCATCTCCTTGGAGTACTCAGCTGTAATGATTCCCAGACACTGTGTACTATGTTCCATTTTTAGACCCACCACTTTGTCTGTATAGCCATGAGCACAGTGCTGGCCTTGCAACTTGTGGAACCTTAAAATAAAAAGCAGATTCAAAGTGCTGAAAGGGCAGCAAGGCTTCTGGGAAGGTAGATCATTCCACAAGCTATGCTATCTTTTAACCTTACTGTCAGATTAAGAAAGATAGCAAGGTTCAGGTAATTTCAGCTGGCAGAAAGTTGTTATTGTTCTTTCTAGACTTGCTGGAGAGAAATAGGGCCAGCCTGTAAAACGCCATGTTGTGTACAATTCAACAGCTACATTTCTGCCTAATTTCAGATTTTATTTTTTTTAAACCCTGTGTTTGTCTGCAACTGACTTTTCCTCCACAAATTATCTGGCACTTACAGTGCATAGGAAATAGCCCATACTCATTCAAACCATGAAGCCAGATGTGAAAAATCCAAAACTGTGGAAAAAAAAAGAAAAGGCAGGGCTAATTATAAATGCTTGGAATTAAATCCCTTGTAGAAGCTGGCTGACAATTTGGCTTCATAAATCTGTTTTATTAATGCAAATGATGAGCTATACCTTACATCTCTAGTGAAAGATAGGGAAGGTTCAAGAAGCCATCTAAAGTGAATTCCTTTCACCAGTGCAGCCAGCACCTCCAATGTCCTTCAAAGTGATAAAACTGGTGACAACCTGAAATATCCCTGAGGCAGCAGGAAGAACAATCGTCTCCTACAATCTGAGATCAGGTATTAAAACAATACAACCATAGTTGGTTTTTTTTTTACAGGTAGAGCAATTAATCACTCCTGGTGGGGCTCTAACTGGCATGGAAAAACTTTGCTCAACTTTCTACGATGAATGTACAACAGACTGATCAGGTATTAAAACAATACAACCATAGTTGTTTTTTTTTTTTTACAGGTAGAGCAATTAATCTCTCCTGGTGGGGCTCTAACTGCCACGGAAAAACTTTGCTCGACTTTCTACTATGAATGTACAACAGACTAAATACTGACAATGAATATAACCCCCCTACACATCCTTCACAGTGCAACTACTCCTCAGATACCTCTAATATACACCTCTAAATAAGATACATACTTTGTAGTAACTCTTAACAGTTTAACAAAGTGCCAAATAGTTAGCTTTTTTGGAAAGATATCAGTATTTCCAAAGTGCAAGGTGCATTCTGATCACCAATGATTGGCACTCATGTTAAAATACCAATATCAATATCAGTGGACTGGTAGTGACAGGGAATGCAGCTGGAAAACAGTAGAATGAGAGGCTGATTCAGTGCATTCGCAGTTTTTCTAGATACAAATATCTCAGAATAGGCATCTGCAGATATGCTGTTAACCCTCCCTCTCCTTCTGGCCTCCAAAATTCAAACCTGATTCAAATCAACTTAATAATATTTTTTTTTTTTAAAAAGAGGTGTTAATTATAATCATAGCAAGTTTCCCCCAAACCCTTGGTTTCATTTAAAATGAAAGGATACACACAATAGATACTTACCTCTTTAACAAATAAGTTTTCTGCTTTTTGTTCTGCATCTTCAGGTACAGAAGGATACAGTGTCCTGATTTCCAGTGAAATTGTGTCTGTCTGACAATAAACAACAAAAAAAACAAATTAGAGCAACAGAACAGCAGGTTTGTCTCATGAAGAGGTTAAGAACCATATTACCATGGCTTGCATTTTTCAATTTGTCATGCAGCCAATACACATGCACATTGACAACTACAACCCAGCTCCTGCCCACACACGCTATTCAATACCATCAGCTGAAGCATTAATTACAAGCAAGAGCCGTGTTTGAATAGATTTCTGGGAATAAAGTTGTTCCAAGCAAACTTGCCTCAGTCTCAGGTTTCTGATAAAAATGTCATCAGGTCTTCCTTACATCCCCTCCCAGAAACATGCCAAATCCAGTCATGTTACTTGCTTCCTCCACTTCCCTTCCGCACCTCATCCCTTTCCAACAAGGAATGTGGAAACAGAACTAAAAGCTTTGGCTCTTTTAGAAGAAGAGAGGAGCAGAGTGCCCTCCTAGTAAGCTGCAAAAGGTCTGCCACAGGACAGCTAATGGTTGGAAAGTGAGTGGAACCACACAACAGCATCTCAGTGGGGCACTTCCGTCCGTGGGCGCAGGCAGCAGAGCAGGATTGACGTGGGACTCCTGACGCTTCCTGCAACCTCCTTTCAGGCTCAGTAGGAGCTGCAGAAATTAAGTCATTTTTTTTTGAAAGCAGCTCCTGACTGAGCTTGCTCGTCAGGCCTCACAGCAGGAAACCACATTGAGAAGTGGATCTCCAGAAGGTCTCCACAAGAAGCTAAGCTTCCCTTAGTTCCCACCAGGCCAACAAGAGGCCAGGGCCACCAGCAATGTTCCTCTGTGTGACGCAGGGCTCCATGCTGAGGTCAGGCAAAGCAGTTACTTTGCAAAAGTCACATGAGTGAAAGCTTTAGGGTATTTTGAATTAATCCATAGATCTTGTCCACCCATTTTTTTTCTTCCATAAGAGGGAAAAACAAACAAAACCAGACCCCAGAAGACCAAATTATGCTCTCAGCTACAATGCAGTAACTCTACCACTCAAAACAACAAAGGACTAAAACCAAGACAAATCTGATCTCCCAAGCTCATTTTCTCCTCCACTGCAGAAAGGCACATGATTTCCAGAGGAAGGCCTATGGCATATGACTGGTTTAGTATGAAGAACCACTACTTACCAATACCATGAAGCAGTCTGCAGTATCTACTGTGCCCCTGGAAGATCTCTTCCCAATCCCCAGTATCAGATTAAGTGATGTTTTTTCTCTACAAATGGAAGCACCCAGACTCTACATGATAATTGCCTGGATACTATTGACTGCATTTTTCCTTACAGCTTACAGAGACCACAATGATTCCCCCTCTTCACTTTCCATATGAGTAATTATGAAAGAAAGGCATGTATCACTCTGGCAGACGTAAACATCATGGGATTCCCCAAACTTTTCCTGCTTCATCTGGATAGCTCAGGATACAATGCGATTAAAACACTTTGGCTCCCGCAAATAAACAGTGGTGCCTCATGGACGCTGCAAAGTGAAAAAAACCCTGTTGTTGTGACCCACTAAGCACAGTTTCCTTAATGTTTGTTCCTGGGCTCTACCCAGCTGTATTACCAAAGCCTGTATGCAAGTGGAGCTTTACACAATCATTTAGTCCATGAGTAAAAAAGCAGATGGAGAAGTAAGAATTTTGAGGCCACATTTAGTAATAGTGAAGATGTCTGAATCCTTGGTTGCTTAGGGACTTCCCAGCAGTACCCACAATCTCTGGAACATGCTTCATTACTTTTACTTCACACATGTGACATTTTAACTCCCTTTTTTTAAGCAGTCCTGAGAAGACTCAATCCCTGAGCACAGCTGAAAACCCATGAGTGCCCCTGAGGTCCATCGTACGGAGTTCTTCCCAGGGCTGGGGCCCTGCTGCCAGCAGCAGTCACAAAGCACGCATGCCGTCCTTCCACGATATCACCATTGCTGAAGATCAGCTGCTGTTTCCAGATGAAGGCAGAGTGGGAGGCCACAAGAACAGAGACGTGTGATGCACTCTGTACCTCACACTGACCCTATCAGGATGATGACTAAGCTACAGAGAGACCAACAGCCTCTTCTGCTCGCCCATAACAAAACCTATCTGCACCATGTATTACGCAGAAGGTAGTTTACAGTATTTTTTTTTTTTTAGATAAGACACATAGTGAGTCACATTTTTCACCTAACACAACACTTCTTGTCAACCAATGCCAGCACAGTGACTGTCCTGGTTTTGCTAGGATAGAGTTACCAAGACAGCTAACATCTGCCTTAATGGGGTCACTGTGCCTCCCTTCCCTTACACAGCTTGTTAAAAAGACTGTAGCTGAACAAGACATGTAACTCAAACCCACTGTTTTGCCTGTGGTATGCTCGCCCACTCTTCTTCTTAACAAGACTGCACTTGAAAGAAAAAGACAGACAAAAAACCAGAAATCAGGTAACATTGAGCTTGTTGCATTTGCAGACTTTGCCAAAGAATATCACAGGTTTATTTACATAGAATTGGGAGATGGAAAAATCTTGTGTATTGTTATATTTAAACCGGTTTTAAAAACTACAAAGCACTTCCCTTCTGAGAATTAGTTATGTTCAACCACTGAGCTGCAAAAGCCTTGCCACAAAAACACTTCCTGTTCATAGCTGATCACTTCCAAAGTTAAACGCTCTTAAAGGCTGATCAGGCATAGCATGTATTCACCAAAACCTTTTTACTTCAGAAAGCAACTAAATTTCAACAACAAACTAACTGCTTCTGTAAGGGTCATCAAAAAAATAAAGGATTTTATTTACAGAATCAGCATTTATAAATGTGCTTTGAATGCAGCCTAATTCTCTAATGTTTAGGCAATCAGAGCAATTGTCTGTTCAAATCAGAGGCCAACTATCTGCTCATTTGTGGATGCACAATGTGATAATCAAATAATGTAGGTATCAGCCTAAAATGCTAAATTCCGTAATCCTTCTGAATTATTTTTTAATCTATTTTATATAAATATCCTATATCCAACAATGATTTCTGGCATTCAGCCAGGCTGTCTCATTTGCATAAACTGTTGGCCCCAGGTGTTGGATTAGTTATAAGGTGCAATTTAATTCAGCACTCTCTCTTGTGCTGAAGCACTCACATCCACTTTCTACAGTGAAAGCCACAAGTTAATATTTCTCCTTATCAACGATTGATTAGGAATAATGTTTTCAGACAGTGTCTACTTCCCACTGACACGGTGAGTTTACTATTTGAAAATGAGTTCAAACTCCATTAGCCATTTCAAACATTTTCACTCTGAACCTACGCTAATAGCTTCTAGTCTGAAAGCATGCTACTGGTGGTTAAATCTTCAGACAGATGCATCAAAAATGATTATATTTACTTCCTGAAAAGGCAGCCCTTCTAAGAGAGCTAACCACAGACAGGCAGAAATGCTTCTGTATGTTAATGCCTAGCTTCAATCTCTCTAAAGAAAAGCTGCTCGGCCCCATTTTCATGCCAGTAAACAGATTTACTTAACATGGGTCTCTTTAGCTTGGAGAAGAGGAGGCTGAGGGGAGACCTCATTAATGTTTATAAATGTGTAAAGGGTGAGTGTCATGAGAATGGAGCCAGGCTCTTCTCAGTGATGCCCAACGATAGGACAAGGAGCAATGGGTGTAAGCTGGAACACAGGAGGTTCCGCTTAAACTTGAGAAGAAACTTCTTTACAGTGAGGGTGACGGAGCACTGGGACAGGCTGCCCAGGGAGGTTGTGGAGTCTCCTTCTCTGGAGACATTCAAGACCCACCTGGACGCCTTCCTGTGTAATTTCGTTTAGGTTCCTGCTCCGGCAGGGGGATTGGACTAGATGATCTTTTGAGGTCACTTCCAATCCCCAACATTCTGTGATTCTGTGTGATTCTGTGATTACCAAAAACTGTAATGAGTTAGTCCATCAAATTAAAAAGCAGGATAAGATGCAACCTGGCTGTACAAATACCACCATCCAAATGCTGTTGTTATATGGGGCTCCCAACAGGCTGCTGTCTGCTGTCCCAGCACAGACCTCACCAAACAGGTACATCTGTGGGGACAAAGTGAAAGGAAAGCAAAGGACAGGTTTTGCCCCACTCACCGAATCATGTTCAGTGCGAGAGGTTATTCTTAGCCCACACAATGTTTGCTTTGCTGACTGCATTAGCTCTCTCTATTTAAATTGCTAGAGTGCATCTAAGTCTAGATACCTCTCATTTTCCTGCTCCTCCCAGCCAATGGAACCTGCACATCAAGGATACTCATATCCCATTAGTCATGAGAATAATGGACTCTATTTCTGCTCTAAGGATGAGCAGATACTGTCTATCACATGGGAAAGTGGGAGACAAGTCATGTGCTATTGAAAATAACCCATGATCTCACTACTGTAATTCTTCTGATTTTAGAAATAACAGTCAGGTTTCATAGAATGGTTTGGGTTGGAAGGGACCTTAAAGATCATCCAGTTCCAACTCCCCTGCCATAAGTAGGGACACCTTCCACTAGACCAGGTTGCTCAAAGCCTCATCCAACCTGGCCTTGAACACTTCCAGGGAGGGGGCATCCACAGCTTCTCTGGGCAACCTGTTCCAGTGTCTCACCACCCTCACAGTAAAGAATTTCTTCCTCATATCTAATCTAAATCTCTTCTCTTCCAGTTTAGAGCCATTTCCCCTTGTTCTGTCACTCCCTGCCCATATAAAAAGTCCCTCCCCAGCCTTCCTGTAGCCCATTCAGGTACTGGAAGGCCACTATAAGATCTCCCCAAAGCCTTCTCTTTTCCAGGCTGAACTCTCAGCCTGTCCTCGTAGGAGAGGTGCTCCTGTCCTTGGATCATCCTCGTGGCCCTCCTCTGGACTCACTCCAGTAGGTCCATGTCCTTCTTGTGTTTGGGGCCCCAGAAGAGGTTTTACAGGGTTATTTCTAAAGAGACACTAAATCCTGTGCTAAGAGCTGCCCCTATGGCACTAGTGCCCTGTTTCACGTGAAGAGGCAGTGTCGTTGCTTACTCTTGCCCTCTCCCCTTAAAGATGCATCTGGTTCTGCTGTGAACTTCTATATCCAAATAAACAACTTTTGTTCCTGCACAACATCTAGATAGCAGATGTTTCACAATGTGAAAATAGGGAGATTTTGGCTCTTCCTTGTTCAGAGATAAAATAAAGAAGCCTGGAAACAGTCACACCTGCAGTGATGGAGAGTATCAACTCAGCTCCCTTTTAAGGCCTCTGTGATACTTGGAGGGCAGCTGGTGGGCTTTCAAAAGCCCAGAAGAGCCAGGAACACGTCAGACTGAACTTCAATAGGTTTTGCATTACACAGGTAAGCTTTGCCACCTTACACCTGTCCTAAATTTAGGCACTGAATTATTATTTCTACTGCAGGTTCAAATCAGACATTCAGCTGTATTGATACAACTAGTTTAAGAAAAGTTTGAGTTCCACCTTCCAAACAGACATTTAAAAAATAGCACGTGGGGAGAAAAGGAGGAACAAATTTTCATGACCCAGAGAGTTTAATATGCTTTTATCCTGCATCAAATTGAAGTACCTATTAAATACTTCCATCTACCTCTTTATGACAATAACATATTGTTAACATATATTTAGTTACTAAATCTCCACACAATAAAAGTTATTAGGAAAGGGGTGGGTGCTGAGCCTGTTGCCACTAAGGGAGGGCACCAACGATTCTACGCTTGAGATTTGCTGGGGGTTCACTGAATTTTCTGAGGATGGTAACATGAAGAAAGGATAAAAAGATACTTATGAAAGGATACAGCAAGCATTTTGCTTGGATACATGAAGGCACTAAGGAGCAGAAGTACAAATGCATGACAACAAATCTGTGCAATACTAAGATGTGAAAGGTTAAAAGTGAGAGGGAGACCAATCTGAAGGAAGTTGTCACACTTCTTTCATGGCCTCCTTTCCAGTAAACGTGCAGGAGAAAAGTGAACAATAGGAATCCCAGACAGCAGTGGTTCCAGTTGTCCGGCCAGGTCTGGGGAACAGAAGGTGAATGGAGCATGGTAACCCCATGGTGAGGACACAAACCTACCAGCATCTCCATCAAGCATGCATTTTTACAGGCGTGACAGGAAGCCCATCAACTCGCACTTAGTACCACCAAGAAGTACAGTTCAAGCTCGTACTCATGTGACAGGGAGCTCCTGTGAAGCTCTGCAGATCCCTCCTCCACACAGTTGGAGTTCTGTACTGCTGCAGAAATTTCCACTGGCCATTACTTCACAGCACAGGAACAGAAGGGTAATTTGCTCACAGGATCCAGGAGCAGGTGAAAAATGAATCTGAGCTCACATGCTTTTTCTTAAAGGGAAACTGGACTTTGGGCAGGAGGGAGGAGAGATAGCAAGCAAGGAATTGCTAGGAAAACAAGAAGTGGAACTGAAGTGAATCAATGATTGTTTTGGGTTTTTTTTAAAGGATTATTAAGCACAGTTATAAAAAAGTGAAACATCTTTTCCTCAGCTGGAGTAAAGCCACAGAATGCACCTTTGTAATGTATAAATCTTGTATTCTTCTGTTGAAATGCGGCGAAATGGAGGCATACAGTCAATTGGGTTCAGATTGATACCAAAAATTCTTTGTTGTTCCACAGATTTCTCATAAGATGTTGGAAATGACCAACAAGACTCTTGTGAGAATAACTGCATTCTCTTTGATTTGCATTCAAATAGAGAAAGCAATTCTGAGACGAAAGAAAAGACTGGACAGCACAGCAGCTTTGATGATAATTGACCCATACCTGATGCATGCGGTGAACACTACAGATCCAGAAATGGGAAATCATTATTAAAAGCAGAATTTTCTCTTATGCTCAGTACCTCAGCTAATTCTTTTGGTGGGGTTTCACTCTGAAGAGACTCTGAAGAACTGAGGCTGCACCACCACTGAGCCACAAAGTCTGAAGCAGTTGTAACCACTGGGAGTTAAACAGTAATGGCCATCATTTCCTGGGGTATTATCACATTAAATAACACTCAGAGCCAGCCTGAGCACCTCCTAATTCAGTCAGATGTGGATCTCTTTCGACTCAAGTGGCTGACCCAGACTTTTATGCACAGGTGATACTTCAGTAGGAAGGGGCAGGGCTATAAACATACACTCTGCAGCTGAAAATCCTGTCTGCTATGAAAGCTCTGCAGTCCTGTCTGGTGGCACAGGCTCTTGTTACCACAGCTGACTTCAACAAAAGATAAGAGACAGGTTTATTGCAAGGATATGGACCCTACCTACCACTGCCTCTGCTCTTCTGTGAGTACAGGCCACCTCTACTGTGCAAGTACCTCTCTCATCTGTCATAATCTTTTTTTCTTCTTCTTTTTTATTGAAAGAGATTAAGTTGAATAGTTGCAAAGCATAACATAAAGGAAACAAAATAGAAGTAGTTACTAAAAGCCAGGCAGTAACTGCTCAAAATGAAATGAAAATAAGGATATGAAAATATGGGTTGACAGGCAGAGGTCTTGAGCAGTAGGACGTGATTCTCCTTTCACAGAGAGGGTTTATTCCAGTGACTTGAGCTCAGTTATTCTAAATGAAGGGGCTCAGGGGCCTTATGACAGCACACAGTATGTCTAGTCAGCTTTATAATGCTAAATTTCAATTTCATAAATTCACAAATGTGCAAAATGTAGAAAGGAATTAATGATGATGAGGAAATCTACTCTGTTTAGTTTTCTCTCAATCCCATGAGCACGTTAACTCAGTTAATGCCACCAAGGAAATAGAGCCATTTAGTAAAACAAAGCAGCCGATTAGATTAAGCTGGCCCCACAGCACAGAAGCAGTGCCATGAGCTGATGGGAAGGGCCCTCACACAGCAGTTACAAATTGAAATGTATTTCCATTAGAGAGTGTCTATTCATCAAAATCTAAATCTTTTACAGAGATTGATTGATTTTGAAGAAGTTGCTGTAAGATGCAGGCTATCTGCCAGCTTACTTGCCTGGTAGCACGCCTCCCCAGCCGGCAGCCCCTGCTCTCCCAAGCTTCCCCATCACCGCCACGGTGAGGGCTGCCCTGGACTTCCAGGTTCTCCATTTCTTTGCAGTTTGCCAGGACAAGTAATGGGGAACCCAGGATGAGCTCAGGCAGCTCCATGGCTGTGGGCTCCAGTATCCACTGCCTGTCAGCATCCCAACATGGGAGCTTGCTTCAGCGCTCTGCACCCCGCTATCACTCAGGATACCAGCTCTCAAACCTCACTGGAGAAGAATTTAAGACAACCCCAAAATCAAACAAAAATTAATTTTGTTTGGATTAACATTTCTTGTGCAATCTAACGTGAGCAACGGCACAGCTTGGAAATATGTCACAGCCATCGACCGTCTAAAAAGTCTGACTTTGAGCAGAAGGCCAGGAATCATGGGCTGTCTGATTCTAGCAGCCAAATACATTAAACAGAATAGTATCAGAAAGACTGGATGTAAGTCATGGAAGTGTGATTAAATTAGGTTATAATAGCTAGGAGAGATTTCAACACTAGCCAATCGACCACTGTGCTAAGCAAACAGACAAGTACACATTATGGAATAACATGTTTTCTGAGTTCCTGAAATATATTTGGGAACAACTGGGGCTTTGAGCTTTACCCAATCCTGAACAGGAAATTCACTTATATACAAATGTCAGAGAAAAAAAAACAAGTTAATTTGGTGGGAGGGAAGTAAGGCATTATGCATAAATTAAGAAAATGTTAGAGAGCCCTCAGACAACTTCTGGCTCTCCCTCTAAATAAAATAAATAAATAAACAAACAGACAAACCTAAGAGAAAGAATAACACGTATTTGCTCTCTACTTACTGTAAAATCATCGTCCGGGAATAATATTAGATCCTTAAACTGGTTATCCCCAATATTTTTCTCAATCTCTGTGATAACAGCTTCATAATCCAAAGGCTCCAAGAGTTTGGGCTTTTCCTGCTGTGGAAAAAAAGAAAAGATCAGGTAATCTCTCTACACTCAAATTTGCCTTCCTCCTACTTCATAAACTCATATCTGCTGCATTCTTCGTTTTTTTACAGCAAAAGTATGAACAACTTCTCCCCCACCCCGTTCCATTCTTCCCAGCTTGTTGCTGCTGAGCTCAGGTGAGAACAGTGGAAGGAAGAAGTTGGGCCAGTTGTAGCAGTCACTTTCCATCTGATAACTCGAGAGCAATCTGTCAGCTCATGACAAAGATGAAAACCACCACTTTAACTTACCTGTCATTCTCAGGAACACTTTTTCTCCATAAATACATGTAGGCAAAAAGACGGGTGGACACAATGTGAACTGAACATAGATACGACTTTGAGCTAATATGTTTCAGAATAAGTAACCTACTAATTTCTTCACTGTCTTACACAATCCCACATCTGGCACCCATCCCCATGGTTGCTCTTGTTAGAAATGGGATCAGCATCATCGTAAGAGTACTATTATTGCCAGAAACAGCAGTAATGTAAGAAACCACCATAGGAACAGCTAAACAGAAGTCTCAAGATACAACCCAAAAACAGAAAAAGAGAAGCCCATCTAACGTGCTAGAATACACTAAACAAATGAAGAGTCATGTATTAAAGTGACTTATGCATTAAAAAGAACCAAAGAGAAAGGGCAAGACAACTGCTCGAAGGGACAGAAAAGCAGGTGATGAGAGAGAAAAAAAGACATTAGTGGAAATCAGATGCTGAAACACTTCTGCAGAACACTTTTTCAGCCTAATGGAATGGTGGACATTAAGTAAGTTGTATTTTATCGACTGTTCTTGCACTGTGCTATCCAGAATAATACAGTTTCTCACCCTCTCTCTTCTCTAAACCATGGTGTATTGGAAAAGAAAGCTTTCCCATCTCCATAAAACAAATTTCTCCAATGGATAATCTCATGATTTTCCAAATATCCAAGTTTCTCCTTTGTTTGCCTTCGTTCTAGAGAGTTCCCATTTTTTTCAGTAACTACAGTCATCTCAAGATTTCTCCTCAGCCCTTGTGAACACTGTTTCCCTTCTATAGTAAGTTCAAGACTCCCTTTGGTATCAAATGCATCTATGAAAAGTTTAATTAAGTATCAATAACACAGCCACATAAAATAGATAAAAAAAAGTGGGATACACATGTTCACAGAAAGTTATTCAGTTGCTGAACAGCTTAAGATGGAATCACAAACTCAGGGCCTTTGCAGGTCATCTACTCCAGCCCCTTCTCAAAGCAGGGCAAGCTGGATCAGGCTGCTTGGGAACTTGTTCAGATGAGTCTTGAAAGCCTCTAAGGATGGAGATGCAATTTAAAAAGTTGGAACTGTTGCTTCAACAGTTCAGTCTATTAACTCTCTTCTCAGTCTATTAACTCTCTTAGTCCCATTTGCCAGCTTAAGAGTTAATAAACTTCTAAAAATCATTAGTATTACTATTCACAGGCCAAAAGCACTATCTACTGATGAGGAGACATTAAAGACTTATAGAAGATAGACAAGATCAAGACATAACAGTCATAAATAGGACATTTCTGAAAGCTCTTTCACAAGGAAACTGGTTCATGAATGGTGGGATGCACAAGAAAGGGAGGAAAGAGAAGAAACACTTGACCTACCTAAATATGGTGTATCTTTAACTACCAATTCCTTGGAAACCACTAAAAGATCTTTCTGTAGGAATAAAATAAAAAGAAAATCTGACACACAGATAGTGTTCTAGATTCCTTCCTAGATTAATCTGGAGACATAGAAGGACAGTTGTCTGTCTTGTCTTCAGAGTTATGAAAGGGAAATTGAATTAGAAATAAAACTTGAGATCACTAAACAGAAAAAAGAAACTTATACAGAGGAAGGCCACTGTGAAACACGAATGGCCCAAAAGGGAAGAAACAGCTTTAAAGTTTAATTTGAATTCTGTGATAGGACTGTATACCAGTGTGTGATATTCAGGTAAGACAAGGTACCCTACTAGGACACGCGAGACTTCATATTAACCCAGCCATGTTACCTTAGACTGTTCCAAGCTGGTACTTGGCCC